AACACAGCAGGCCTCCCAGGTGACGGGGTGCCCCCCCCCCCCCCGTCCGATCACGCTGCCTAACTTAGGTCCCAGCAGCCTACGCTGGGGGGAGGGGGCGTGGTTGCTACCTCTGCGGCCATCCTCACTCAGCTGGGCTGACACCCATGTCCCTCGGGCTGGGGTTTCGCCCTAAACGTCCACGTGGATGTGCTCCGCGCGGGTTCGCTAAGTGCCCAGCAAAGGGGTGGATCCACGCGGTGGATGGAGAGACCTGGGCTTCTGCAAACGAGGCTGCATGAGGGAGAATCTGGCCCCGGAGGGCAGCGCGGTCAGGGTTGGGTTTGCTGCTTGGAGGGGACAAGCTGGCCCCACGTGGGTGACGCTGGCTTCCCTCTGAGGACAAGAGGAAGCCCGCCCCTAAAACAGAACTTCCCATCGTGAGTGGCACGAAGCCTGGAGGGGGACAGCTGATGTGCTGGGTGCCAATCACAGCATCTCCTTCGGTCTCGCCATGCGACTAAGGAGAAAGGCCGGCCCTGGACACCTCTCTTCTCTATTTTTTAAAAAATATAGTTTATTAATTTCAGAGAGGAAGGGAGAGTGAGAGAGAAACATCCATGATGAGAGAGAATCATGGATCGGCTGCCTCCTGCACGCCCCCTACTGGGGATGGAGCCCACAACCCGGGCATGTGCCGTGACCTGAAATCGAACCGTGACCTCCTGGTTCCTAGGTCAGTGCTCAACCACTGAGCCACACTGGCCGGGCGACACCTCTCTTCTCTAACGCTCATCCATCCCCCCTGCTAAGGTAGACCAGGCGGCAGGCTCGCTCTCTTAACCCTGAGCTAGCACGGAGCAGCTGCTCTCATTAAATCTCTTTCACCATAGCCTTTCCTGTAAGGCAAGCGATCCTGCTTTTCCACTTATGGTCTATTGATGTAAAAGTTTGCAAGTAAATCCACTTGTATGACACACGGCGTTAATTTAACAAAAATAATATGCAGCCCGGCCGACAGGGCTCAGTTCAATTCCCGGTCAGGGCACATGCCCAGGTTGTAGGCTCCATCCCCAGTAGGGGGCGTGCAGGAGGCAGCCGATCCATGATGCTCTCTCATCATGGATGTTTCTCCCTCTCCCTCTCCCTTCCTCTCTGAAAACAATAAAAAAAATATTAAAAAATAATAATAAGCAAGTGATTCTTGTATCTTATAAGAAAAAAAAAGGGGGTAATGGCAGTGGCCCTCTGCCCAGAGTGGGCTCTGTGGGCATTTCTGGGGAGGCCAGGAGATTCCCCGGGGGTGCCTGAGAACAGTGCCCAATGCCCAGGGGACGGGGGCTGCCCATGGGGACTGGCGGGAGGCGGGTACCTTGTCGGCCCCACACTCGGTGCCGTCCAGGGGCGGGTCCAGCTTGGTCTTGCAGGAGGCGTCTCCTTCCACCAGGCACCACAGCCCCGCGCACATCAGATGCTGCTGACAAAGAGAAGCAACGTGACTGCCGGGGACACGGCGTGCGGGTCACAGCGGGGTCGCCGGAGGGCCCGGCGAGGGGTTTGGACCTCCCTTCCTCTCTGAAAGCAATAAAAATGTGTTTTTAAAAATAAAACAACAACAACAACAAAAAGAACCAATGGGAAAAAACCCTCACCTGAGGAGGTGACAATTGACGAGAAAAAAGAGACGTGAAAGGGACAAAGATCAAGGAGAAAAAGGCAGAGGGTGAGGAGCGTCTCATGTACCAATAAAAGAATATTTTTTAAACACTGTCTTCTTTAAAAAAATCTGTATCTACACCTATATATATTTTGATTTCAGAGAGGAAGGGAGAGGGACAGAGAGATGGAAACATCACCGAGGAGAGAGAGTCATGGGTCGGCTGCCTCCTGCACGCCCCACACTGGGGATCGAGCCCGCAACCTGGGCATGTGCCCTGACCGGAATTGAACTGTGACCTCCTGGTTCATAGGTCGACGCTCAACCACTGAGCCACACCGGCCGGGCGGTGCACCTCTCTGACTCTTCTCTCCTCCCACTACCCCCTCCCCCCAGAGCTTCCTGGGATCACCTCCCAGATAAACTACTTGCACCCAAATCCCCGTCTCGTGGTCGGAAAATTGAGACCAGATGTACTTGGGGCTCTTTGAAGAGACAGTGTTTCCTTGAGGCCAAACCCAATCAACGACAAAAAATGCCTGAGCTGGAGTGGGGACCCGTCCCCTCCGGGGCAAGGCCAGGGCAGTCACCACGGGGCTCGCCAAGGGTGTGCGAGCTCAGTTCCCAGGAATCTCAAACATCTGCGCTTTGGGCAGCGTGAGCGTCGGGGTCCCTGTGCACAGCTCAGGGCAGTCAAACATCTGCACGGAAGACAGGCGCTGTCCACGCTGCTAATGTCAGAGCACGTCCAGAAGGGGAAGGGACAGCCCTGGCCGGTTTGGCTCAGTGGATAGAGCATCGGCCCGAGGACTGAAGGGTCCCAGGTTCGATTCCCGGTCAAGGGCACGGAACTGGATTGCAGGCTCGATCCCCGGCCGTGGTCGGGGCACATACAGGAGGCAACCAATCCATGTGTCTCTCTCACACTGATGTTTCTCTATCTCGTCCCCTCCCTTCCACTCTCTCTAAGAATCAATGGAAAAATGCCCGGCTGGCGTGCCTCAGTGGTTGAGGTTGACCTATGAACCAGGAGGTCACAGTTCGATTCCCCATCAGGGGACATGCCGGGTTGCAGGCTCAGTCCCCAGTGTGGGCCGTGCAGGAGGCAGCCGATCCATGATTCTCTCTCATCGTGGATGTTTCTATCTCTCTCCTCTCCCTTCCTCTCTGAAATCAATAAAAATATATTTTAAAAAATAAATAAGACAACAAAACAAGAACCAATGGAAAAATATCCTCAGGTGAGGATTAACGAGAAAAGAGATGTGGACGGGACCAAGATGAAGGAGAAAAAGGCAGGAAAGCAGCACCGAGGGTGTGGACAGAGCGAAGAACAGCCCTAGGCCTCTCAGTTTCCAAGGACGTCGGAGCTGCTCGGGGCCGAGAAGTTGATGACTCAGCGGAATACTGCGCACGTGGGATCAGGGAAGCCCCCACGGCCCCACGTGAGCGGGGAAGAGGTGAGAGCCTTGAGCACAGCACCCGCTGGTCCCGTAAAGCGCGGCCGGTGGCACCTCATTACGCGGCTGGTTCCGCGCACTCTGACCGGTGACGGTGGGGACGTGTGTCCCGGGGACAAGGCTGAGCCAGGAGGAATGTATGGGGCAGGGGGCTGGGGGTTAGGAGAGGGAGGAAGAAGGCGGCCTGAGTGTTTATTATGCATTTTATAGACAGCGCTTTCTCATAAAACATTCCTAATCATCAAAAAAAAAAGGGGGGGGGGAGAATGAGGTCAGGCAAAGATGTCTTCAATAGAACACAAAACGTCTGAACTATAAAGGGAAACACACTAATAAATTATATTATATTAAAATGAAGAACTTCTGCCCGGGTGGCCTGGCTCAGGGGTTGAGTGTCAACCTATGAACCAGGAGGTCACGGTTCGATTCCTGGTCAGGGCACATGGCCGGGGTGCAAGCTCCATCCCCAGTAGGGGGAGTGCAGGAGGCAGCCGGTCCATGAGTCTCTGTTTCTATCTTTCTCTCTTCCTTCCTCTCTAAAATCAATGAAAACACACACACACACACACACACACACACACACACACACACACACAAAAGCCTAATATGCAAAGTGTCCCCTCGGGAGTTCAACCGACCAGGATTTCGATCGCTCGCTATGATGTGCACTGACCACCAGAGGGCAGTGCGGAACAAAGGGAGGACCAGGCCGGCAGCCACTAGGGACCCTACCTGTGCACAAATTTTGTGCACTGAGCCTCTAGTGTATATATATAAAACGCACATTAAAACAGTTTCTGCAGATAAAGGTGCAGTCAGTCAAGCAAATCGGGTGGGGGTGCCCAGGGTCCCCCAACTCCCCGCCCTAGGAGCAGTCCTTAAGTAGCAGCGGAATGCCACTGACCCAGCGCAAAGCCTCAGGGAAATGAAACTGCTCCCTGGTCCTAGTATCTGTTCCCTCACCGGCTGCCTTTAATGTTTGCCGTGTGAATGTCATGTCAAGTGCATTGTGCTGCAAAGGCCCTTGAGATGCTGCGTAACAAACACGCCCATTTCCCTGGGACGCTGTGGCACTGCGGGAAGGTGTGGGTCCCTCGGAAGAAAGACACCTCTGCTCGTTTGTTCGAGGCTTCACAGTGTTTCTCTTAACCCGCCGGGCCCCTCTAGGGTCCCCTCCGGGTGGTCTCGACCCCCTTCCTCACTCGGCACTGCTGAGCACCTGGAGAGATGCTCTGACACAACACAGTGCTGAAGGGAAGGGTTATGTAAAAAACCCTCAAGAATGTGCTGCTGATAACACCAGCCAAGAGGGAGATAAGATGAAATGCTAAGCGCTGGATGAGAAAGTGACTAATCCACATTTTCCACACAGACTCCTGCAGTTTGAAGCCCTTTCCCGCGCCGGCATGCCAGGCCTGCTTCTGGAAGGTTCCATGAGTCCCGGGTTTGGTCCCTCCTTGCATGTTCCTACAGGTTGTGGCAGAGACCACCATCACCTGGCTGGGGCCACCTGGTGCGGGGTTGGGGGGGGGGGAGAGACACATGCTTGGGGGAGGGCAGGGCCAGGCACCCAGGCGTGAGGCCGGCCAGGGGAACGAGGCATGGGGAGAGGCAGGGCGGAGAGCGCTCCGGGAGGATGTCTCTGTGCACGCTCGAACGCTGCTGGAAAATGGGGCCTTCTGCTGCCAAGCCCAATAGCTCCGAGAGGAGCTGCAGCTGCCGGGCAGGAAGCTGAGCCCAGGCAGGCGAGGCGGCACTCACCCTGGAGTCCGACCCAGCTTCCTACCGCACGGCCCGTCCGTCTGAGGGGCAGGGCGGGGCTCCCGTCCGGCCAGCCGCCCACTCTGGCCAGGTGTGTCCGTGGGTGTTAAAGGGGCCGGCTTCGTTTAGATCGGTAGTTCCTAAACCGAGCTGAGTGTGACAACCCCGGGGAAGACGTATCAAATGAAATACCTGGACCGGCTGGTGTGGCTCAGTGGTTGAGCATCGACCTATGAACCTGGAGGTCAGGGTTCGATTCCCAGTCAGGGCACATGCCCTGGTTGTGGGCTCAATCTCCAGCAGGGGGCGTGCAAGAGGCAGCCAGTCAATGATTCTCTCTCCTCGTTGATGTTTCTCTCTCTCTCTCTCTCCCCCCCTCTCCCTTCCTCTCTGAAATCAATAAAAATACATTTTTTTAAAAAAAAGATACCCATGGGCATGACGAGGTTAAGAAGTACAGATCAATAATTGCAGATGGTCCCTGGGATGTAAAGTACATCAGAGGACATATAGTCAGTAACATTGTAATTACTATGCATGGGGCCCGACTGGTGTGGCCCAGTGGTTGAGCATCGACCTATGAACCAGGAGGTCAGGGTTCGATTCCCGGTCAGGGCACATGCCCTGGTTGTGGGCTCGATCCCCAGTAGGGGGCGTGCAGGAGGCAGCCAGTCAATGATTCTCTCTCCTCGTTGATGTTTCTCTCTCTGTCTCCCTCTCCCTCCTCTCTGAAATCAATAAAAATATATTTGTAAAAAATTACTTAAGCCCTAACCGGTTTGGCTCAGTGGATAGAGCGTCGGCCTGCAGACTCAAGGGTCCCAGGTTCGATTCCGGTCAAGGGCATGTACCTTGGTTGTGGGCACATCCCCAGTAGGGAGTGTGCAGGAGGCACCTGATTAATGTCTCTCTCTCATCGACCTTTCTAACTCTCTATCCCTCTCCCTTCCTCTCTGTAAAAAATCAATAAAATATAAATAAAGAAAGAAAGAAAGAAATAAAATCATTTTAAAAAATTACTTAAAAACAATCGGGGCCTGGAGGGGGCAATGCCACGCTGTTCCTTCCAGCTGTCACTACCCTCAGCCTCACCTTGACGGAGACTGCTCTGCAGGGACTGCTGACAAGGACAGGAGTGACTTGTCAGCATAAAGAAAAAAGGCCAGACTGGGCTCATCGGTCAAGTTCGTCTCCCCTTTCTAATAAATATTTACTACCCGCTGTTTACAACGTGCACGTTTGGACTTTCTTGAAACGCTTTCCTGAATTAAAAACATCACATTACCATTGGCGAAAAGAGGAGACGGCTCTATGTGCCAAGGGTTTGGAACAAGTGCCAATTAGGCGATGCCAATTTTTTTTTTTGCACTTATTTCCATGGGCAGCTCTGAGCCTCACAGTACCAGCCTTCTGCACACAAGAGAGACGCGATGCTGGTGGTGGGGGGTCTCCAGGGTCCTAGGAGGGAGGACGGGCGGGGTTCTAGCTTTTCTAGGTCCTCTGCCACGCAAGTGTTTCAGGAAGCAGGGACCTGGCGCACAGTGGAAGCCAGGCTGCTCCCACGCCACCTGAAGTAGCGTTTTCCCAGAGTTCTTCACCCCATCCCTTTGAGCCAGGAAATGGTCTTTTTAGGCTCCAAATGGTGAATGCCAAAGGAAGAATGTACATGAGTCCAGTGGAAGGAGGTTCTGGATTCAAAACTTCACCTAAAGAAGAGCCCGGCCGGTGTGGCTCAGTGGTTGAGCATCGATCTATGAACCAGGAGGTCAGGGCACATGTCCGAGTTGTGAGGTCGATCTCCAGTGTGGGGCGTGCAGGAGGCAGCCAATCAATGATCCTCTCTCCTCATTGATGTTTCTACCTCCTTGTCCCTCTCCCTTTCTTTCTGAAATCAATAAAAATATATTTTAAAAAAGAAGAAGAGTAATAACTCACGCAAGCCAGCACATGCCACTCGCGGGCGCCCAGCACCTGGCCTCCCACGAGGGGGCCCCGGGTGGGGACTCTGAGCCCCTTCTCAGAGTAATAACTGTCCGTGCAGAATGACGGAGGGCAGAAGGTTACCAAGGAAACAATTCAATGCAAATGTAATTCCAAATACAAAATAACTACAAATGCATACTCCAGCAATACGGGTTTCTTGGTGAACATGCTACATAACAAAATCTGACTCTGAGTGTACGAGCGTGTGTCTACGTGCACCCATGTGTGCATTCGGCTCTCTATGACGGTACACGTATATGCATGCCTGCTTGTGTATGTGCATATACATGTGTGCATACATATACACGTGTGTGCGTGCACAGGTGCATAGAGAGTGAACACCTGTGTCCTCCAGCAGAAGCCACGCACTCCTGCCTGGGCCGCCCCACCCCCCACCCGGGCCGCTTACCTCCATGTTTCTGCAGAAGGTGGCGTTGGTGCCAAACAGGATCTGGCACTGCTCGTTGGCGCTGTAGTGCATGCCAGGCAGCTTGTGAGGGAGGCGCACGGCGTGCTGGCTCCGGGGGTCTGTGACCAGCAAGCAGGTGCTGACTTTCGACCTGAAACGGACAAGAGGTAAGTCGACGCACAAAAGCACTGCCCGAGACTTGTTCCGATTTTGAGTCACTGAGAAGGCTGCGCCTCCACATTACTTATGGGCCGCCCGGCCGGTGTGGCTGTGGTTGAGCGTCGACCTATGAACCAGGAGGTCACAGTCAGGGCACATGCCCGGGTTGCGGGCTCCATCCCCAGTGTGGGACGTGCAGGAGGCAGCCGACCAATGATTCTCTCTCATCATTGATGTTTCTCTCTCCCTCTCCCTTTCTCACTCCAGTCAGTGAAGATATATTGAGCGAGCCCTTGTCCTGGTGAAGGCGTGGCCCTATCACAGGGAAGCCTGAGCGTGGAGACACATCTGTTCTGCTGCCGCCACGGCCACCGACACAGTGGTGTCCACTCACGGTTCAAACATGGCAGAGAAATGAAGCAGCTCCAAGGCATGGTCACGGTGCTGATATTTCAATCAATCAACAAGGATTTATGAATATGAGCTGAGTGCCCAACATCATATCAGTGCATGTGCCACGCTGGGTACGCACGTCACACCTGGTGCACACGGCACACCCAGGGCACAGCCCACACCAGGTGAACATGGCACCCCAGGTACACACAGCATACATCACACCAGGTGAACACATCATACCGGATGAACACGGCACACCAGCTGTACACATCACACCAGGTGCACACGGCACTCCAGCTGTACACATCACACCAGGTGCACACAGCATACATCACACCAGGTGCACACATCATACCAGATGAACACGGCACACCAGCTGTACACATCACACCAGGTGCACACGGCACTCCAGGTGCACATGTGGGAGAAAGCTTGGCAGATATGGGAGGTTCTGCACTGACCATGCTTTAGGGCAGCCGAGAGTTCTGGGAGATCCATTTGACCCTTCCCACACGTGCAGAGACCCCACGTTGCGTCTTCTGGGAGTACTTCCTATTGCAGGGAAGGCACAGAGGGACTCCAGGACTCACTTGAGGAAGTTTTCAAGGTCATCTCGACTGCAGGAGGACCAGGAGAGGTCGCTGGGGTTCCGGCCTTTCACCCACTCCCCCGACATGATGTGGGACCTTCCGGCGCAGGACGAGTGGTCGTCGTCGTGGTTCATGCCCAAGCTGCCGAGGGAGGAAGAGGAGACAGGACACTTATCCTACAGGCTTCTCATCTCTGCTTCCAGGGTCTAGCATCCAATTCCTTTTTTATTTTTTAAATTGATTTCAAAGAGGAAGGGGGAGGGAGAGAGAGATAGAAACATCAACGATGAGAGAGAATCATGGATCGGCTGCCTCCTGCACACCCCCTACTGGAGATCAAGCCTAGAACTAGGGCATGTGCCCTTGACCGTGACCTCCTGGTTCCTAGGTCGATGCTCAACCACTGAGCCACACCGGCCAAGGCCCACTGATGTTATTTTCAAACCTACTTGTGTCAGTGTCATTTATGACTTCACGGCTAAAAATGGTCAAACGCTAAGTAAGTGTCCAGTAAAGCTACCATCTGATGAACTAGCATTGGGGCTGGGAGGCGCTACATTTGCGTTTAAATGAAGGACTACTTGACTGAGAGGCTCGTGTTATTGTAGGTTTGCATCCCAGGGCGTCTCTTACTCTGACAGCATCACAGTTAACAGAAACGAGGAGTGTGAGGCCCACGCTGTAATTTTACCGTCAAGTGGCTGTGGGACTCAGGACACAGACTGGCCTCTGTCACGTGTGGCCCAGGTGCATCCCACACAATAACAACTCCAGGGCCGGAGTTTGATCGGATCTTGAGACAAGGAACACGCGGCTTCTCCCCGAATCCTACGTGTTTGAGGCGCTCTGGGAGTGGCAGTTTTAGGAGGCTCTCAGCCTGCCTCTCCCTCTCTCAGAAGGTTTGGGATTTTTGTTTGTTTGTTTTAATGTTTTTATTGATTTTCAGGAAGGGAGAGAGAGAGAAAAACATTAATGATGAGAGAGAATCATGGATCGGCTGCCTCCTGCACGCCCCCTAGTGGGGACCGAGTGCACAGCCTGGGCATGTGCCCTGACTGGGAATCAAACCAGCAACCTCTTGGTGCACAGGATGATGCTCAACCACTGAGCCACCACAGTCGGGCCTGAATTCACTTTAGAGGCAAAGACCAAACCACTCTCCATAGAGATACAGGGACTATGCTAATGGCAAAGCTCGCTATGACCAAATACTCGACGGAGAGCTTCTCATTCAAGCCCAGGCTTCCTGCACTCTGGGAATAAAAGCCTTGCCCAGCCGGTGTGGCTCAGTGACTGAGCATCCACCTATGAACCAGGAGGTCACAGTTACGTTCCCGGTCAGGGTATGTGCCTGGGTTGCGGGCTCTGTCCCTGTGCAGGCGGCAGGCGATCGATGATTCTCTCATTGATGTCTCTCTCCCTCTCCCTTCCTCTCTGAAATCAATAAAAATATATTAAACAAAAAAATTATTACATCGCTTACTTACTTTCAACGTAAAAGAAATAATCAACTGTCAAAATACTTAGATGCCACACCAGCTAATGAAATGCATGGAAGAAACATCTGGATCCTTTAAAGCTCCCGGGAAATCGAAATGCACAATTCCGGCGCGTCCAGGGACCGCACTGCTGCTGGTGGGGTCTGGACCTGCACCAAGTTCAAGGCCCACGCGTTTCATCTACAGACTCGACCCTGAGGGTGGAGAGTCTAAGGAACGGAGGGAGTTCAGAAGCGGTAACCGCCTTCTGCTAAATTATGAAACGCTCGTCTGAGGGGCTTTCCATGAAGTGTTGTCTGTATAGATTCCCTGCTGCTTGCACACCGAGGATTTGTTTTTGAAATTTCCACACCGTTGAAACATTGGCGGCTTTGTTACGGCTCTTTCCTTTCCCGTTTATTTATTTAGTTAGTTATTTTGAGGCTCTTCCGAAGCAACCCTTTTTATCTTTAAAAAGCATCTTCACTTCCCCTCGTGCAAATTATAGGCTTCTTGCAGTAATCACTCCTGCTTAAGATGGCATTCAAGGTGCCGGATAAAAACAGCTTCTCCTGGCCGCCTTAATGACGGTGTACGCAGCTCTCAGCTCATCCCGAAGCCCCTCTGAATTCCGGCTCCTGTGAAGAGGCGATGCCAGGAGCGGCGCCCAAGCGGTAATTGGTATTTTCACTAGCGGCAACTTTGTAGCCGATGAGAGGTTATGCGAGCGGCAACTTTGTAGAGGAGAGTAGGTTATTAAGACAGGGAAGGAGGTCCTCCCCGCAGAATCCCATCCGGGATGTGGAAGGAAAAGGGGTTCCGGACACAGAGCCTCTCAGTGTGTGGTTCCCCCAGAGACGCGAAGCCCCTCGTGTGGGTGTCTCCAAGCACAGGTGACGACCAGGGAGGGTGGAAGAGATTCCAAAATCAGGGTGCGAAAGCTGTTCTAGCGACTCCCTCATGGAAAACACTTACTTATTTTAAATACTAGAGGCCCGGTGCACGAAATTCGTGCTCGGTACGGTCCCTAGGCCTGGCCTGCAATCAGGGCCATCTTCCCCAGCTGCCCGCAGCTGGCCCCCCCCCCGGCCGCCACCCACCTGGTTCCCCTTCCCCCAGCCATCAGGTGATCAGTCCCTGACGGCCGGGGAAAGGGACCAAGAGGTCAGTTGTTCCCTCTCGCTGGCCCCGCCCCTGCCGCAGATGGCCATCAGGCGATCGAAGCCTGATGGATGGCCAGGAAAAAGGACCAAAAGGTGGTCAGTGCGCCTCATAGTGACTAGTCCAGCAGTTGTTCTGGTCA